GAAGGAAGGAAGGAAGGAAGGAAGGAAGGAAGGAAGGAAGGAAGGAAAGAAGAAAGAAAGGCGAAAGTGATAGGGAATACACAGGCACGTGTTATTTTAAATCAGATAGTCAGAGGAGCCTTTAATGATATAAAAGCAGAGATCTGACATAAAGAAAGAAAGAAAGAAAGAAAGAAAGAAAGAAAGAAAGAAAGAAAGAAAGGAAGAAAGAAAGAAAGATGTGGAGGGCCGCAACCACATTCTCCATTGCTTCAAGGGACAAAGGTAGAGATTGACCTCTGTGACCTCAAGGTGTGGTGGTACATGCCTTTAGTCCTGATGCCTGGGAGGCAGAGGCAGATTGACCTCTGTGACCTCAAGGTGTGGTAGTACACACCTTTGGTCCCAATGCCTGGGAGGCAGAGACAGGCAGATCTCTGTGAGTTCAAGGTGTTGTAGCACACGCCTTTAATCCCAGCGCACGTGCTTGGTAACTCTCTACTGCTGCATCCCTGCCTACTTCCGAGGCATCATCTGGGATAATGGGCAGCAGACCAATCCAAGAGTGACACGTCAGAAGCGAGGACTGTTTCCTTTATAAGGGCTGGGTTCCCCTCATTCTGGGTCTCCGCAATGTAAGCTTATGCTCTCCCTCTCAAGACGCATTAAAGCTTTGCTGCAGAAGGATCCTAAGTGTCCCGCGTCGTTCTTGTGGGCGAGACGGTAGCGCGGGGCAGAAAGAAAAAGAAAGAAAGAAAGAAAGAAAGAAAGAAAGACAGACAGACAGACACAGAGCTCTGGGGAAAATATTCTTGGTAGAAGAAAACAACAGAGTCAAGTGCCATGAAGTAAAAGTGTGAGGAACAGCCTAGAGGTCCAAGGTGCAGAGCAGTCGGAGGCAGCCATAAGGGATGACTATTGGAGGAAGGGACCGCTTGTTGGTTCCCAGCCGCCCAGCTAGCTTAGATGCGAAATAATAACACAGAAACTATATTAATTACATCACTGCTTGGCCCATTAGCTCTAGCTTCTTATTGACTAATCTCTTACATATTAATTTAACCCATTTCTATTAATCTGTGTATCGCCATGAGGCTGTGGCTTACCGGCTAAAGTTTCGGCATGTCTGACTCTGGCAGCTCCAGATGTCTGTCTGACTCCGCCTTCCTCCTTCCATGCTATAGGCCAAGCCAGTTCTTTATTCATTAACCAATAAAAGCAACACATAGACAGAAGGACCTCCCACACTGATGACAGTGCACGGGTCTCTGCATGGTAGGCTTCTACTATACTGGGTGACCCAAGGGGACATTAGAGGGATGAACAGAGCCCGACACGACCTGACTTAATGTCTCAAAGATTCCCCATTGCTGTGAAATGTAAGCTATACCAAAGTAGTGAGGATGGGGGCAGGGAGGTGGGGCTAATGCAATAATCCAGGGGGACAGAAGATGGTGCTTGGAGTTGGCAAGAGGTGCTCAGATTCAGGAAAGAATGTAGGACCAGTGGGCTGGTGCTAAGCAGAGGAGATGAGAGTGAGTGGAAGCAAGAAAACCACACAGGCTTGAAGAAAAAGGATGGAACAGTCATCAAGCTGTGGATGACTGCAGAGAAGTGGGTCTGCGGGGAGACCAGGAGCTTGATTTTGACTTAGGTTGAAGCTGCACATTGGATACATAAATGGAAATGCTAAGTAAGTAGCTGGCATGAGCCCGGGTTTCAGGGGGAAGATGCTAGCTGAAGACATGCATTTGGAAGCATACGGGTGGTATTTAAGGCCAAGAGAGGGAGTGTAGGTAGAAGAGGTCCCACGTTCCAGGTCTCGAGGCCTGTGCATTAAAAAGCCAGCGGTGGCGAAAGCAGAGAGATGGTTCGGTTGGTATAGCGCTGGCTGTGCCAGTCTGAGGATCTCTGTTTGGATCCCAGCACCCACACGAAAGCCAGGCACAGTAGTGCGAATCTGTAGTCCCATCACTGGGAAGGCAGAAATGGGTGAGTCCTTTGAGCTTTCTGGCCAGCCAGTCTAGCCCAGCCAGTGAATCTCAGGGTTAGTGGGGGGACCGTGTTTCAAAAAATAACGTGGAGGGTAGAGAGGTGGCTTAGTGGGCTTGGGTGTTTGCTGTTGTTGTAGAGAACTGGCATCAGTTCCCTGCACTCATACTGGGCGGCTCACAACTGCCTGTGATGCCAGATCTAGTGTATCTGACATCGTCTAGCTTTCCTTGGGTACTACTCACATGCACACACACCTCCGACTCTCTCTCTCTCTCTCTCTCTCACACACACATACACACACACTAATATATGGTAGAGAGTGACTTCCACACACTTGTATACAAGCGCACATACACCCAAATGACATGCGCAAATGCACACACACAATTGGAGCGGTGAAGAGGAATC